TTGACTCTTGGTCCTCATTTGTTGTGGGAGGAATCACTATTTTATTGTGTTTTAATCATTACTTTTAACAGTTCATCAAACTTAAAGCTGTTCTTTTATTTTATTGGAACTGTAAAGGATCCCTTAGACAAGTTTTTATTTCATTCACCATTGCAGTTGTAAGGAAGCCTATGGTCAGTTATAAACCTGTGTCTTGTGCACTGCCCCACAAATTTTAATCAACCGGATGAAATAATGTGTCATAAAGATGGCTGCTTATATGAAAACATTACCATTTTGTGATACTTGGGATTTATGCTTTTGTTAATATTTATCAACGGTCAAGAATTTAAAATAAAATACAAGTTTAAGATGTGATGGGTAAAGTGCTCAATAGATTACAATTGTGCTTTCCTTTAAACATCCCAAAGTCCACTTTAAACTCTTCCTCATAGAGGTAATGACTGAACATGTACAGTCCCTTTCACTGGTGTGTTTACAGGGGCTGTCATATAGCCTAGGTACAGTCCCCTTCACTGGTGTGTTTACAAGGGGCTGTCCATATAGCCCTGAGTACAGTCCCTTCACTGGTGTGTTAACAGGGGCTCATTATATACTAGGTACAGTCCCTTCACTGGTGTGTTTACAGGGGCTCATTATATAGCCTAGAGTCCCTTACCGGTGTGTTAACAGGGCTCGTCATATAGCCTAGGTGTCCCTTCACTGGTGTTAACAGGGCTCGTCATATAGCCTAGGTACAGTCCCCTTCACTAGTGTGTTTACAGGGGCTGGTCATATAGCCTAGGTACAGTCCCTCTCACTGGTGTGTTAACAGGGGCTCGCCATATAGCCTAGGTACAGTCCCTTCACTGGTGTGTTTACAGGGCTCATATAGCCTAGGTACAGTCCCTTCACTGGTGTGTTAACAGGGGCTCATTATAGCCTAGGTACAGTCCCCTTCACTGGTGTGTTTACAGGGCTCATTATATAGCCCAGGTACAGTCCCTTCACTGGTGTGTTAACAGGGCTCGTCATATAGCCTAGGTACAGTCCCCTTCACTGGTGTGTTAACAGGGGCTCATAGCCTAGGTACAGTCCCCTTCACTAGTGTGTTTACAGGGGCTGGTCATATATAGCCTAGGTACAGTCCCCTCACTGGTGTGTTAACAGGGCCTGTCATATAGCCTAGGTACAGTCCCCTTCACTAGTGTGTTTACAGCTCGTCATATAGCCTACTGTTGTCGCCGTGACATACACAAGTCAGCCCATCAGTGCTGTGAGGAAGAAGGTCAACATAAAGGACTTATTTTGGTCTATAAGTTGATTTATTTCTGATAATTTGTAATGGTAAAAGTTTTTATTTGTGGATAATTTTTATTTATCAGATCTGTAGTGGCAGGAAGACTAATCCTGAAGCTTTGATGTATTAGTAGCTATTTAATGTAAAGAGACACCAAAATTAAAACCTAACCTAACCTGTGAAGATAGATTTTTATGGCAGAAAGACCAGACTGTATACAATAAAAAGATACAAATATTCATATAAAGTTTATGTTTATTATTTTAATTTTAACCTGTGATATCTCGCTTGTTTCTGACACCTGCTGTTTACACACTTAACCCTTAGGCTGTTCCCAGGCTGTGGTGATATTAATGGGCGACATGTTTGGTGAGAAGTCCATCCCGAGAAACATCACTGGAGTGGTTGTCATGCAGTAGGAAGTCTCAGTTACCCTCTTGATGTCATATGGGAAGGATGGTTAAAATATTTTCTAAAAGATGAGTGTGGCAATGAGTGGTGAGGCTGCCCCACCCATTGAACCATAAAAGTGGTAAATATGGTTAATTTTTATCTTGTTGACGTAAATGATAGTTGTTATTATGTGCAGGAGTCTGAATATTGTAGGAGTGAATTAAATGGTAACATAAAGAGTGAAAGATGGAGTAATGTGTCCCAGTGTGTGTGTGTGTGTGTGTGCGGTTTTTTTCACGATCCCCGCCATAATCACCTCTGCTGGGTCACCAATCAAAGGTTATATCAATTTACTTGACCAAATGTTTCCTTTTTGACTGCTCTACAACCTCAAATTTTTCAGAAGTTTCCTGAGAGCTGATCTAGTTCAATTATATAGATGTTCCCAGACAAGTATAAAAAGCTGTCTTGGGGTTAACTGCAGCTGAAGAACATGTAGACGAGCCACTGCCGGCCCTATAAAAATCCTTCATTCAGGATATTTACACACTGAACTATGTGAAGTGGGCAGTGAAGTCCTGCAGGAGAGACTACAGTACTCTAATTAGTGCCACATTGAGTGAAAATATCAACAGAGTAGAACACCAACAGAAGAGTATCAGTGCAGCCACGAATTACATGGGAATAAAGAAAAATATTGAGTGATATTCATTAGTGGTGACCATCAACCATAAAAGGATCTGTAATGTATTGAGGGAACACCAAGATCCTTCTTTACAGGAAGGTCCTCTTGTCATCAATAAAGGCAGCAGCCACTTGTGACTCAGCACCAGCACTGATCATGTCCCCAGGTAACACAACTCATCAACACCGGCCCAGCCTTGATATGGACACATAGTTACCTGCACATACAGAGAACACTTAACACTGTACCAACCTTCCACACTCACTGCACTTATAGAATTGCTGTCAACAAATGACATGCCTGACGTTGTCACACTCCTCCATACAAATGTTTGCCGATGACTCCAAGTTATTTAGGGAAATGAAGAACCCAGCGGACTGTGAAGAGCTGCAGAAGGACCTCTGTGGGCTCCAAGAATGGTCAAGAAATGGCTGCTGAGATTCAATGTCACAAAGTGTAAGAGGATGCACCTGGGGCGTACTAACGGTAAGGAGGCGTATCATATGTCCCAACGGGATGAAGAAAATGTACTAGTTGAGACTGAGTGTGAGAAGGACCTAGGTGTGTATGTTGACAATGAGCTGAAGTTCTCGGCCATTGTGAGAAGAAGGTAAATCAGGCAAATAAATTATTGGGTCTTATAAGAAGGTCGTTGAGATATCTAGACGGTCCGTCCTCGTAACGATCTTCAGAAGTGAAGTGCTTCCCATCTGAAGTACTGTCACCCCGTCTGGTCCCTGAGGTATGCTAGGGACTGTCAGTTGGTTGAAAATGTTCAAAGGAGGGCCACCAGACTGGTGCCTGAACCACGCACCTCAACTACCATGAGAGATTGGAGCGCCTGAACTTGCCTAGCTTATACTACAGACGGGCAAGGGTGGACCTAGTTGAGGTGTATAAGCATCTCAAGGGGCACTACTCAGTCGAAGTGTCCTGACCTGGAGCTGGCGGACGCCGCCCACAAGGGGTCACAGCTCAAGGTTGAGAAGCCGCAAGTCCAGAAAACTGTGAGGGCAAACTCGGAGTGAGAATTGTGAACTGTTGGAACAACCTGCCAGAGAGTGTTAGGACGGCACCGAGTGAGCTGTTTCAAGACAAGACTTGACCAACACTGGAGCAGGTTCAGGTAATCAAAGACAAAGTCGTGTCGCGGGTTTTGTCCGAAAATTAAATATAACTCGTGAAACATCATGAGAGCCCTAACACAAGACAGAGCGACTAAAGGTTTAGCCCTTCGGCATATTGTTCACGACACGACTTTTGTCTTTCATTGTACATTCAGGAGCCGATGCATGCCCAGTACTTGCTAACAGTGAGTAACAGAGACGACCAATCGCCCAAGCGGCTAACGAGCCGATCAGTGGTGAAGAGGATGAAAGTAAAGTAAATTATAATATACACACTGACTTACTATGAAGCATTATAATAGTATACAGCATGCACTGACCTAGTATGAGGCATTGTAATATATAGGTGTATACACTGACTTACTATGAAGCATTATAAAAAATTATTTACAAAACCTGACAATAATGACCTAATTAATAATACAATGATTAGTATTTGATCATTATCGACTTTTTATAAATAATAATAATCTTAATAATTATGTAGTGAAAGAATAAAAATTTAATACTGTACCATTAACTATAACGCTGTATTAAGTTTATATGAATTAATTATTATACTTTTATATAGTGTTATATATTTAGTAAAGAAATTATTAATAAATGGTCTTTAAATAGTCAAAGGGAAGAAATATTTACTATTTTAATATATTTTAGTCTCTTAGTGCTTAAATTGTCCGAATCTCCGGTTAGTGACGTGAGTTTAGTTTACCATTACCATATTACCACAGCTGGGAACTTAAAGATTAAATATCATAATACAAAAAAACGTTTTAAATATTATATAAGCTTTATTAGAAAAATTATATTCACTTAATTAATAATAGAACAAATATTTAACTAATAAATGATAGAGAGAGAATCGGACAGAGTGAACAATAACAAACCACCATCTTGGTCACTGTTGTTGTGTTTGTGTCGTAAATTAGTGAAGTGGAGTGTCTTAGACGCTAACAATTGTGACTTATGAGGAGATAAAAGACACCAGTGTACGCTACCAGGTGAATCATTGACCACACAGCCTGGCCACAGGTCACCACACAGCAGCTTCTGGCCTCAGGTCACCACACAGCAGCTTCTGGCCTCAGGTCACCACACAGCAGCTTCTGGCCTCAGGTCACCACACAGCAGCTTCTGGCCTCAGGTCACCACACAGCAGCTTCTGGCCTCAGGTCACCACACAGCAGCTTCTGGCCTCAGGTCACCACACAGCAGCTTCTGGCCTCAGGTCACCACACACAGCAACTTCTGGCCTCAGGTCACCACACAGCAGCTTCTGGCCACAGGCCACACACAGCAGCTTCTGGCCTCAGGTCACCACACAGCAGCTTCTGGCCTCAGGTCACCACACAGCAGCTTCTGGCCTCAGGTCACCCACACAGCAGCTTCTGGCCTCAGGTCACCACAGCAGCTTCTGGCCTCCAGGTCACCCCACAGCAGCTTCTGGCCTCCAGGTCACCACACAGCAGCTTCTGTACAGGTCACCACACAGCAGCTTCTGGCCTCCAAGGTCACACACAGCAGCTTCTGGCCTCAGGTCACCACACAGCAGCTTCTGGCCTCAGGTCACCACACAGCAGCTTCTGGCCTCAGGTCACCACACAGCAGCTTCTGGCCCCAGGTCACCACACAGCAGCTTCTGGCCCCAGGTCACCACACAGCAGCTTCTGGCCTCAGGTCACCACACAGCAGCTTGGCCTCAGGTTCACCACAGCAGCTTCTGGCCTCAGGTCACCACACGGCAGCTTGGCTCAGGTCACACACACAGCAGCTTCTGGCCTCAGGTCACCACACAGCAGCTTGGCCTCAGGTCACCCACACACAGCAGCTTCTGGCCCAGGTCACCACACAGCCGGCCACAGGTCACCACACAGCAGCTTTGGCCTCAGGTCACCACACAGCAGCTTGGCCTCAGGTCACCACAGCAGCTTGGCCTCAGGTCACCACACAGCAGCTTCTGGCCTCAGGTCACCACACAGCAGCTTCTGGCCCCAGGTCACCACACAGCAGCTTCTGGCCTCAGGTCACCCACACAACAGCTTCTGGCCTCAGGTCACCACACACAGCAGCTTCTGGCCACAGGTCACCACACAGCAGCTTCTGGCCTCAGGTCACCACACAGCAGCTTGGCCTCAGGTCACCACACAGCAGCTTTGGCCTCAGGTCACCACACAGCAGCTTGGCCCTCAGGTCACCACACGGCAGCTTCTGGTCTCAGGTCACCACACGGCAGCTTCTGGCCTCAGGTCACCACACAGCAGCTTCTGGCCTCAGGTCAACCACACAGCAGCTTCTGGCCTCAGGTCACCACACAGCAGCTTCTGGCCTCAGGTCACCACACACAGCAGCTTCTGGCCTCAGGTCCTGCCACACACAGCTTCTGGCCTCAGGTCACCACACAGCACAACTGGCCTCAGGTCACCACACAGCAGCTTCTGGCCTCAGGTCACCACTGGCAGCTTCTGGCCACAGGTCACCACACAGCAACTTCGGCCTCAGGTCACCCACACAGCAGCTTCTGGCCTCAGATCACCACACAGCAGCTTCTGGCCTCAGGTCACCACACACAGCAGCTTCCTGGCCTCAGGTCACCCACACACAGCAACTTCTGGCCTCAGGTCACCACACAGCAACTTCTGGCCTCAGGTCACTGCTGCAGCCCTGGCCTCAGGTCACCACACAGCTTCTGGCCTCAGGTCACCCACAGCAGCTTCTGGCCTCAGGTCACCCACGCAGCAGCTTTGGCCTCAGGTCACCACACAGCAGCTTCTGGCACTCAGGTCACCACCACAGCAGCTTCTGGCCTCAGGTCACCACACAGCAGCTTCTGGCCTCAGGTCCTCCCCACAGCAGCTTCTGGCCTCAGGTCACCACACACTGCAGAGTCAGACCATTAGAGGCCAGGTGGTGTTACCTGATGATGAGGTGGGGTGACCAAACACCTGCTTTACCTCGTCACCTCAGCATGTAATCAACTCTCACCAAGTTCTTTGTTAACTGGATCTTCTCAAACTATTCTTGGCCAACTACTGCCTTTGGTAAATCAAATTAACACAGGTAAACGATAGTCCTAATGGCTGGATGCCCTAAATGATATTACCACCAGCAGTTATCTTGTGTGTGGTAAAATATGACCTTCACTTTATTAACAAATAGTAATTTGGTCCAAGGAAAAGAAATATATTCATATATTGTTTTAAATAACCAAATACAAAATGTTTCTACAGCCATTAAACAAATATTAACCTTAGAATGTAACCCAACATACTAATCATATTGAAGTATTAGGATGTAACAACATACTACAATAATCATAATGAAGTATTGGATGTAACAACATACTACAATAATCATATTGAAGTATTAGGATGTAACTTAACATACCAATCCTTAATGAAGTAATGGGAGTGTAATAACATACTACAGCCAATCATATTGAAGTATTGGGATGTAACTTAACATACTACAGCCAATCATATTGAAGTATTTGTCTTACCCTCCCAGGCCCAGCGTCTGCCTCCGGCTGCAGAGTCACCATGACATGTGAAGAATGTCACCCCGGTCTTACATGGACATTGTTGTGAATTCCGGGAAAAGACGACCGCGCCTCCAGTTCTTCACGGATCATGGCATCCTTCCACCACAAGGGAACTGTCAGGGCTGCCAGAGAATCTCTGTATACCGGGCAGAAAGGAAAATTTTCAGTGTAATACAAAAATAATAGTTGACAAGAGGCACAAACGGGTAAGCGTTGTGGCTACAGTTCGAGTTTGGCATGCAAAGGCAGTTTGAGAATGCAGATAAACCGAAACACTGTTGTTTTATCAATGTTTTCTTAGACAATATTTCTCCCCAGGAAATATGTGAAAATAGACTAGGTTTGTGTGCCAAGTCAGTTTGTGCAGTGGAAAAACTTTTGCAGTGAAGGTGTGCATGTACTGGATGGAGAACCAGGAGCCAATTGGTGGACCAAACACAGTTGTTGAGATCACAGCGAGACTACATTTTGGCAGAGGAAAGTCTATCCACGGGGGTCCAGGTGAAAGTCGCGGCGACTCTCGATTGTTTATGGCGAAAAGACATCGGCGTGGGTCCGGGCCGCATGTTCATTAACCGGTGGAAGAGATGAGCTCTGACACCCTAAGCTCCTCTGTGCCAGACATTCATCACCGGGCACCACCAAATACAGTAAGCGCTCCGCCAGCCTCGTCGACTTAGGAATCCTTGAGTTTTTGGCCGCCAGACAGTTAACCACAGGCAGCAGGCTTGCAGGAACCCATTACGCTGGCGTCCACACGGACAACATTAAACGGCACCAGCCAGAAGGACATAAAATCGTGGGTCATGGCTTGACAGCAGAAACTACAACTACAGGTGCCTACCCCTCGCTGGCTACCTCTTCTGCCACG